GCGGTCCCTTGTGGCACCCCAAAAGGCGACGGCCCCAAGTCACCTGCAACTTGTTCATGGTTGATTCCGCGCCGGGCACGGCGGCCAGGAGCGGGGCAGCGTACAAAACCACAGATTCAACTCGGGCTGGGACCTGCGCCGCAGCCACTGGGATGGAGAAGCCCAGAGACTCTGCCGCATACAACAGTTCGGAGAAGCAGCCATGCCCGACGGCGACGATTTCACGGAGGAGGGGGTAAAACGTCAGGTCGGAATCCACCAAAATTCCCAGGAGGACCATGCGGTCTACTTCTGGGCAGCCGGCGAGACTGGGGGGGGGCGCGCCCAGGACTGGAAGAACGCACGTCTTGGATTTCTCACGGGAGAAAAACGACTTACAAGTGCGCGCGTACCTACTGCACGCGGATTCGTCCTCAGGAGACAGGACGGCGCGCACCGCCCCTATAGATGGGCAAGCTGATGTCGTCGACAAACTGGGCAGGCGGCATGTGCAATTCACCCGCGAGCTCCACCACCGCGGCTCTGTCCGCTAGGGCGGGGACGGCACTGAGCCGGGCGGATAACGCGGCTTCGGCGCGCGGCCATGGCGGGGATTCGGTCGCCGCCACCCGTGGCACTTCATGCAACGTTGCCGCCGCGGGAAAGGCCCGGTCAGGCATTGCCGCCTCGTGGCTGGGGGGTTAGCCTCGCCCGCAGCAGTCATAGCTTGTCTAGCCAGGCGCGGGACCACGGTGGCGCACCCCCCGGGGACTGCGGCGGCGATCTCACCGGGCAGCGCTTTCAATTGCGCGTTGAAAATATGGACCGAAAAACGCCTGCCCTGGGCGGTGCCGCACCCGAGGGCGAACACTGGCGACAATAAGTTGTGCAGGCCGACCGCCTGATGGTCTCGTGCCAACACGTCGCCCAGCAACAGCCAGTCCGACCCGCGTACGCCGGCTTCAAAAACGCCGCACAGCATGCCATTCACCGAAGCTACGTCAAACGCACATTTGTTGTCCGCGACAGCCCGCCAAGTTGGCAGGTCTTGCGCGGCCCGCAACTGGGCATTCATAGTGAGAGCGATGACCAACGAAACAGTATCGCCCACCCCCCCCTGCTGGGACGGGCCACCGCAAGCCTCGATGAGAGGTCCATTGCGAGCAATCCATGCCGCGTCTTGGACTGAGGCCATGTCAGTCGTGAACGAGATTGGCCGCAATGACTTGATCTTCCGCACAGTCGCCGGCCCTGACTTGCGGATGGGGGCAAAATGGCGAAGAGACCATGGACGGGCCGTTACGCGCAGCGCGCGACCCAGATTGAGTAGTGCCCGCGTCAGGCGGAAGCCCTCCTCAACCTGGACCCGCAAGGCTGCGTTGCACAAGTGAACCGTGCGCTTGCCTGGCTTGAGCAGGAAAAGCGCCGCTTCGACCTCATGGTCGGCGTATGGTCGTTCCGGATACAGGGGCCCCGCCTCCGCCCCCGAGCGGCGGATGGCGGTGACCGCCTGCGCAAGGCTGTCCCTGGCCTCCGGGCACTGCGGGAAATCATTGTGGGCCCTAGAATACAAATCGTCACGGATCGCATCGATCATGCCGCTAGTGGACAAAGCGTGCCCAGTGATGGAATCCACTAGCTGGATGTCGAACTTCGCAGTTGACCTGCAAAATCCCGATAAGAAGCGCTCGGCGGCGCCAGCGTTGGTTTCGCGGAGGTCCAGGTAGCGGTGGACATCTTTGCGTCTCTCCTGCCACGCCGCCGCCGATGCGGCTTCCCGGAAGGCCTCATGGGATGGGTAAGCCGAGGGGACAAGCGGGGGGCGCCGCGACGTGTCTCTGCTCCTACTGGCGACGCCCGTCGTGTGGCCGAAGAGGCATGCCCCACCATTGCATAAATGGTATCGCGCGTCCAGGCGGCTACATTGAGGACGGCCCGGCGCTGGAGGCGGGTGGCCCCGCCTCCGTACCAGGGTGGCCGGAGCCACTGACTAGTGCCTACCGTTTCAATAGCAGTGGCGAGCGCCTGTAGCGTGCTGGCCACGTCCCGAAGGCCAGTCTCCCACTCCTCGCCCGAAGTCCAGGCGACGCGCCCGAACCCCGCCGAATTCTGCGCGGTTGCCCGGCAAGGCACGTCAATCAGCACGAGTCTGCGGTCAGAAAGCCCCACAAATTCATCCACGACGTGCACGGGCAGCGGGTCGTGGCGGGAGCCCAAAAACAAATCAATACATGTGCCTGAAACGTGCGTGGGCGATGGCGGGTTAAAGGCGCGCAACCCGGCAGAGTCCAACCACTCCTGGATCAATTTATCCTTGGAGCGTTGGTGGCATTGCAGGCACCGGCATCCGGCGCCGTGGGAGACAACGTAATCCAGGTGGAGGTTCCCATCACCTCCCACGAGGAGCCGCGCGCGAGGAAACTTAGCGCGCAAAACGCCCGCGAGGGCGACGATGGACCCCCAAGTGTCCAAGTCACCGCCGTGAACGGGATACATAGCGCAAATTATACAAGTGGGGGCATCGTCCTGCCCATCAGACCACAGCTCGTACCACTGCTCCCTGGAGGACGAAAAATCATGGATGGGGCGAATGGCGTGCTCTAGCTCCGGCCTGACAAAAATCCCGACAGTGTCCCATGCAGCGGATTCGGGTCCGAGCCATAGGAAAGGGAAGCCTTTTGGCAACAGGGCTCCAGCGGGGAAGCGCGACCCCGGCAAGATGCAAAGGTCTACGCCCCTGTCGTCCAGGGCATGGGCGACGGCCTCCAGCCGCCACTCCAATATTAGATCGCTGCCCAAATGAAGGAAGCCGGAACGACCAGGGTTGAGAACGGCCAAAGTCAGGTGTGAGCGTGTGGAGTCATCCAGCAACGGCGGCACTGCACAGCGGCCTGGCTCTCCAGATTGATAAATCCCCCCTACAAGAGGTGACGCCACGGCCGTGGACTTTGCCGCCTTAGTGGTCAACGCTGGCACCACCTCCCGTCGAACGAGCGTGCTGACGGCAGTGCAGAGCGCCCATAAGGGATCTGCCACCGCTCCCAGATGCTGGCGAATCCCAGGGGACAAGGTGGGCGCCATGTCTGCTAATGCGATCGCGTCCCTGAGGGCCGCGGCGGCCTCCGTCCGTCTCTTAGTCTGTGACGCCCACCGAAGCACCTTCATGCGCAGCGGCTCCAGGGCGGTCGCCGCCGCTTCCGCGTGCCGACCGGATAAGTCCATTATCGTCGTCTCCCCAGGGAGCGCCCTAATGGTTTGAGCCGCTGCGTGAAGGCGGGTGCGATCATATTCGAAATAGCCCCCCCCCCATTGCTAACGCCGTGGGCGGCAGCGATGGCAGCGACGACGACGACGACGCACGACGGTGGCGGCAACACAAGCGCTACACAAGTGGAGTGGGACGACTTACAACGAAGACATGTCACACACAGCCACGCGAGGCGCATCACGACTGCGAAGCAGATCAATCGCCCGCAGCACAACTTCGAGGCAGAAACAAAGCAATAATGCGAAGCAGGAGGCGCATCACGACTGCGAAGCAGGACCGGGCCGCTACCCGGGCCAATGAAATCCCCAATGGACTGACGTGCTCAAGCGCGTGCTACATGACCTCTGCTACATCTCGGGCGTGCCGGCCCATCCGCCATCGACGCGGCCGTCTGTGTAGTTTTTTTTGTTTTCCTCGCGTCGACCACGGCGGCTGGATGCCTCGACAACTTCGCATGGCCACTGCCCCCGGACATGGAGGGAAGCCGGGCTGCGTGGGCAGCCGACCACCAAAGAATACAGAGACGCTATCAGGCACGTGGCAGGGACAACGAGAGAGCACCCGAGACAATTATTGCCCGGGGGCCAGGGCGGAAATGTTACTTAAGACCGGGTTTTTCGAAGGCACGAGGAGGAGGGGGAGGAGGAGGCGGACGGGGACGGGGAGGGCAAGGGAGAGGGAGGGAAGAGAGGAAACGACAGGGGGGGTGAAACGGCGGGTAAGACACCAACTGGACACCATCCTTTCAGGGAGACGCCGTGCCGCAGGAGTTTCCAAGCATGGTGGGACAATCGCTATACATGTGAAGCGGGCAATTCCTAGAATCCGATCCTCGCGGAGCCCACCACAAAAGTGAGGCAGGACAATGAAATACGACACGCCGTCACACTCAAGCTCGATGACAAGTCACACACAGCCACGCGAGGCGCATCACGACTGTGAAGCAGGTCAGCCACCGGCCGCGCAATTTGGAGGCGGACGCAAAGCAAGAAGGCGAAGCAGGAGGCGCATCACGACTGTGAAGCAGGTCAATCACCCGCAACAGGGGTGTGAAGCAGAAGCAAAGCCAAAATGCAAAGCAAGAGTGCGAAGCAGGGTCAACATACAACATTCCCCTGTGCGATGCACGCACCCCGCCCGCATCACGACTGCGAAGCACGACCAACAAGGAAGCGGCAAAGCAGTGACGCAGGCACGCGGCTCACGAACACACAGTGCAGCGATCTGCGCAGCCCGTCCGCATCACGACTGCGAAGCACGCGCAATGAGATCCCCCATGGCCACGCCACGATCGCGCAGCACAAACCGGAGAGTGAATGCAAGCAGTTGGGTATCAGCGGATCAGAGAGAAGCCTCGCCTGTTTTGGGGCTTTTTCCTAATGCTTCGCGCACCCAGGCCGTCACCCCCAGGATGCGCCGCAAGGTAAAAGATGGGTTCATAAGCCGCGCGGCCCTTCGGCGACGGTAAACGATGGAAAAGCGGCAAAGAAAAGAGCGGTGGGAAGAGACGAGCCGCTACGGCCCCCGCGGCGGTGCGTCGGGCTGGGCACCCGCGCCCGCGGCCGACGCCGCAACGCACTACGCAGCGCGCCTACTCAAGCAAATCGCTGGGTTTAAATTTGACCCGCGCCGGCGCGCCCGGCCCTAGTGGCGGCGCAGGCGCCGCCGCCGACGTGACGTCAATGGGGTCGCCAAGGAACAAAAGCAGTTCCTCAAGGCGCGTCTCGAACGCCCCGCGCCTGCCTTTGGCGACAATTTTCCCAAGCCTCTTGCTCTCGATCGGTACAGTGAGCTTCGTCGTTGGCGACACTTTCCAAGTAATCTCCACGCCAGGCTGGTTGGTGCACCCCAGCGGGATCGCGAACGGAGCAGGGGCGAAGGCGGGCTTGCCCTTTTCGGGGGCAACTGTAATTTCTACGCCCATGGCCTGTACAAGCTTGTACAAATCCGCCTGGGAATGGCATTTCGCACTAAACACCGCGGCCATGGAGACGCGCCCGTCCGTGGAGTCTCCAACTAACTCACGGACGCGGTTGTGCCATGCGCCCACCGCGGCGTTCAGTTCAGACCTATGCTGGAAACGGCGGAGCGCCATGACCTCGGCTTTTGCCTGGGCCGCCTGCTCTGCGGTGGGGGCGGCCTGGGACGAGGGAGGGGCCCGCTGGCCCGCGGAAACCGCAGGAGTAGGTGGGCGCACGCCTCCCGACCTGTTGAAAGCAAGCTGCAACGGGTTGGGGCCTGGTTGGGGGGCCTTAAACGGCGCAGGCCCAGTGGCACTCGTGGCGGCATCCGCTATTGGCAAGGAGGCCTGGCTGGCCCCGCGAGGAAACTTGGCAGGGGCATCGTATCCGTTCCGAACCCGCTCCAGAGCGTCCGACAGCGAGCTAACCTCGGCTGTCCAAGCGGAAATCCCGGATGGTTTCTCATTGCAGGCGGCACCCGTAACCGGGTTGAACCACAAGGCAGCGCCCGTGGCAGACCAGTACTCCTGCCACGGCGGGCGCGACGTCTGGACGGCGTCCAACTGCAGCTTGATCTGCGCCACCTTCGCTTCCCAGGCGGCCCGACCCTCGCTTTCCTGCGGGGGTACGCCGCCAGGCACGTCACGCTGCGCAGCCGGAGGCTCCACCTCTGGAGGGCTCGGGTGATCCCAGCGCGTCTGGCCGGTCACCCGGTTGTGGTAGTAAAGTGCCCCAGTGGACGAC